AGTCGATCTTGCCGCCTTTAAGCCACTTCCCATGAAGATATTCTCACAGCTGCTAACATTTATGAACCTTCAGCAGCTGCTGTCTTGTGTTTGCCTCTCATTAGAACTTGAACAGTTTCATATCAAGCAATGAAACAATGTTTGAGAGTTTAACTCATTCTCGCAAGACATTTCAATCAACAAAAGTCTTCGAATGTACTTTCTTCATCATATTGTAGTTCACTGATATAATCGCTAGCTCACAATACAAGACAACGGAACTGATTTCTTTAAGATAATTTAAATNACATTTCAATCAACAAAAGTCTTCGAATGTACTTTCTTCATCATATTGTAGTTCACTGATACAATCGCTAGCTCACATGAATTGGAATGCAAGACAACGGAACTGATTTCTTTAAGATAATTTAAATGTTACAATGGCATTGTTAAAATTAATTGATCGCAAAAATATCAAATCAACGAATATTAAAGCCAGCAATAAACAAAGTTCATTATTTATTGACGATAAGTGCAGTGAGTCAAAAATGTATGAATATTTTCAATTTCAACTGAGAAATACTCATCTTATCCTCTAACTCGTCTACTCTTGATTATTTGTGCCAATGTGTGATTTGAAGTCGGTGAATTTGAGTGCTTGAGCAATTTTAAAAGGTCTATGGCATTCTGTCGAATTGGTTGAACAAAATTTTATGGTTATGTAGTGCATAACGGATGTTTGTGAAACAACCATATTCCTAGAGCATATCAGTACGCTCACTTCTCAACTGACCTATTTCATTGGTTTTCATTTCACTCAAAAACCTCATTCATGATCCACTGAAATAGAGCATCTGTCACATCGAATGATTCTTGACAAATCGAAATTGAGCACGAGTCCAAACCGTACTTGCAAAAATATTACATGTTTCAACAAACTTATCCACTCAACACTGGTCATGATGACCCAGAAATAAATCTTTTCAAATCAACAAAACATCAAACCAACTGTGATAATTACTGGACCACTGTGATAATAGTTTATTTTCACGTAAATCTATAGCTGAAATTATACGAATTGGAATTTACATCAACGTTTCGCTGGAAGAAAACTTGAAATGTTTCTTTATAGGAGATGATAATATGAAAGAAATACTTCCGTCCACCAATTAAGAACAAATAGAATATTCGTGCGCCAATACACTTCTGTCAATGTTAACATGAAAAGAGATTTACGATCCTCTCATGAACTCCTATCACTGTTTCAATTGTCACGCATTGCACTAACGCAAATTGTGTCTTCGTACAATTGCGTAACAACAATTAAACGGTGTTGTTCTTGTAGTTGTTCTCCTTATGCGTTTGTTATCAGCAGACAGATGATATGTGTACATTTGCATACGCATTGTTCTCGAATGACCTTCACCGAGATGGAGTTTTATCAGTGAACTACCAAATGAATGGAATATTTTACAAAAGATATACGGATGTAACAAAACTTTGCAAATAGCCTTAGGCAATACCCAAAACATATAAAAGAGATCACAAACAGTATTCGGCAAAGGATGTTACTTATAGATTGTCGGAAACATTCTCTCTTGAAACACTTACGAATTTTGTTTGTTGAGAATTTTTCTTCATTTCAATTAGCTCTTTCGAATATCCGCGAAAATCATTCCATTCAGTTAGGATTGTTCGCCTTTGAATTCATTCGTTTGCTCTTATAATAATATAAATACTATAAAGCTAGTAAAAATTGATTCAAATGTGCAAATGATTAACGAGAAGTTTTTCAGAATACCTTTCAAAAACATGCTTTCAGTGGTCCCCTTATCAGTTTTCACCATATTGCTCGTTGTTCAGAGTAATGCTCGATCAGGTAAGTAGTATGCATTCCCGCTCGGCAGATTCTTTTCTCGAGTCAGCCGCAAGCATTTGATCAAAACATTTGATCTATATGATTTATATTTTAAAAATTTATCATGAAGAAGGAATCTTCATTCGAAATTCCTGCAGTAAAATAGAAATCAAATTTTTCTTTCTTCGTATGCATTCATTGATTGTTCTGTTTCAGTGGTCAAAGTCCAAAGTCAGGAAGATGAATCCAAACCAGATACTGAAGTGATCGGCCCAGTAAGGAAATCTCACTGTATTTTGTTTTTTCGAAGTTCACTATCTGCGAGAATAACGCCAACTGGAACGAGCAGTACTTGGCAGAAGGCGTAATTTCTCGAACGAAAGCTAGATTTATATGAGTGAGCATATTTCAGAAGTATTACGCATGTCCACATTTGAATCCAGCCGAAAACACGAAAATGCACGAGCGTTCTGATGCCAGCTGTGATCAGTCAAAGTCTGCAGCGGCCAAACAAGATCAGGGTTGCAGCTGTGAGTATTTAGTGGCTGAACGCAATTCACAAGGATGTGCCACATCCTACTTTACGCTTTGTCAACGTGAAAAGGTTCGTACATTTCTTTCATTCAGTTAGGAATAACTCATTTGTTCACCAAAACAAATTAGTACAACGAATGCAAAATGTGCATTCGAGATATTTCGAAGTTTCAACATCCCATGGAAGTTGGTTTCAAAATTTGACCTCTGTAGAACATTTATAGGAAATTATCCTCAAGTTAATTTTTAGACGATTTTGATTTTTTTTAATCTCCGCAACTCAGTGGAACACCTGTAGATTGCACACAATACTAAGCATATAGGGCCATCAGATCGATCGAATCAATGATTTCAAAATGAATATTTCAGTCTGCTTTCGATGCCATCTCACTCGGAGCGCTCTAAAGTGATTAATAGTTCAAGGAAGATCTAAACTTGACTCCGAAGTGACCTTCACTCAAAAAGCAATACTGCTTATGCATTCACTGATTCTCTTGAAAACCTATTTGTATGTGTATTTGATCGATGAACTAATAAATTTTACTCAAACTGATAATGTGCATACTATTGTATATATGTGAGAACAACACCACTTCCACCGTTCGAATATT